AGGGTGGGATTCCAACGGCAGAAAAAAAATTCTAAAATCTGGCGTCCTCGAAGCCGTGTAAGTCGCTGACTCTATTCAACGACTTCCTCATCATAGCTACTTTTGCAAGCATTTCCGCGGCTCGCCAAGCCGATGTTGGCGTCAGGGGCTCGGCTTTCTCTTCATCCCTTCCGCGCCGTTGGATCTGGTTCTGTTGGCTCTGCCTGGTTCTATGCAGCTCCGACAGCTCGGCTTCCAAGCCGGTGATCAGATCGTCCGCCTGACCGGAGTTTGACTGCATTAACAAAGCCCGAGCCGAAGAAAGCATCCGCCGCGCGCCGGTGAAGTCGCTACGCTCGGCTAATCTCCGGGACTCGGCTACGGCTCGCGTCGATACGAAGAGGTTTCTCAGCCGTCTGATGTTTTCAGTTGAGGATCTAACGGCGTGGGCTCGCGGGACCAGCAAAGCTTGTTCCTTGCAATGGATGAGGTCTTGAGTTGACGGGTCTTTGTAAACGGATCGAATGGACAGCGCGTGGTGGGCCCCAATGGCGGAAGATGGGACTTTCAGTTCCACCATCAATTCTCTCTCCTCCTCTGCGTAAAAATCTCCTAGCCGGATCTGACCCGACCCGTGTGAAACTGGCCGGGTGCCGTTTGAGTAAACTGCGGCGACTTCCGCCGGAGCGGAACCGGAGACAAATCTGAGCTCAACGCGAAGGTCATGGGCGACGACGTTGAGTAACCCGCCAATGCACTTTGTCAGTCCGTCTTCGGTTGACCCGGATCCGAACCCAGCTGCATCATTCAATGCGACGGAATATACGGGAATCTCGTTTTGGCCGAATAACTTGGAGGACGAAATCACCGGAGATTGAGGTCTCCGGTACACTGAGCTGGCGGCTAACTGCTCGTAATGGCAGTCTGAAAGGAGAAGGATGCTGGCGGCAGAGTTTCTCTCGCGGCGGTCTTCCAGAACCTTCGCGGCCTTTTTGAGAGCGTCGATTGCACTCGCCGTTCCACCGAGAGAAACCATCGCATCCACTATACGCCGCGCAGACCGCCGGCCGCTCGTCGTCATTCTCCGCAGCGGCAGTAAACGCTTTGATGTTGCAGAGAAGGCCACGATAGAGAGCCTGTCTGTTGCAGAGAGGGACGAAACCACCAACCTCATAGCGCGTCTCATTACTTGGATGCTATCGGTTGTCATCTTCCCGCTAACATCTAGCACCGCCACCAGATCAATCGGAGCTTTCCGAGAAGTCACCGGCGATGCCGGCGGAGCTCTGAGTCGCAGAACCACCGCATGAGTTTCGTGACTCCTCCCAACTGAAACCACAGCCGCCTCAGGCAACAGCGTTGCTTCCACGTTGTTGGACACCGCCGCAGCAGGCGTGTGCATCACTGGACTGGTTTTTTCATAGAAAAATCCCTGAAATTCCTCATTCTCTTCATCAGATTCAGGTATAGGGTTAAAACGTGCTCCAGAAGTGGGAGACATCAGTGGTTCATCATCATTGTAGACCTTCAAAATCGCCCTACCCTTTTGGCGCTGCTTATCATTAGCTTCACTTTTTTCACGAACATCCTTCATTCCTTTGGGCGTGACCTGTCGGATCGTTCTCTCTTCCATTTCCACTTCCAGTATCTTCATCTCGTCATCGTGTAGAGACAACAAGGGCAGCTCGTTCCAAGTTGAGCAGCAAATGGGGCATATGAGGCTTCCTTGTTTCTTCACATGTGCAGCAACGCAGGGGAAGTGAAAGCTATGAGAGCATTCCGCCGTGAAAATGGCCGTCCCCTGCCCGGACTTCACCGTCCTTGAACAAATCCCACACCTGCTCTGTTATTCATCAATATTTATTCATTTCAGTAAGCGAACAAATCCGAATTAGAATATGAAACTACTCTATTATAAAACAGTTTCGATAATGTAGAGCATCTGCATTCAGTACATACCTTAGAGAGACGGAGGCTGGATTTGAGGAGAGAAAAAGGGGAAGGAGAACGAGGAGAAGAAGGCTGCGAGCGGTGGAAGAATCTGGGACTCTTAGACTGGTGTTTTGGACTGTCGGCAGGCGGAGACACTGTAGTCCGGCAACGGAGAGACGGCGTAGACGCAGGCGGCTGAGAGTGGTGCATCCGCGGCGTCGAAGGATTCGAGAAGAACCCGAACTTGGATCCGAATCTAGGACTCGGTTGAGGCGTAGTATGCTGCGCTTGTTCCATGGAATCGAGATCTCTGGGGATCGATGCACAGAAAGGCCGCCTCCATCCCAACACCATCGTGATTCGGAAATTCTAATCCTCCTCCGTTAACAATCCCTTCCCTTGTTTTGCTTCTTCACTCGCTCTGGTACAGGCCGGACGAGATTTCTCTAGGGAAAAACCAAAAACGGATGCGCAAATGACAACGAGGAAGACGAAAAGGACGAAGGAGATAAAGGGTAGGAAGGAAATCCCAAAATCATTTCAATATAATATTCGCGAAAACCAAGACCTGTCCATCTCTCTTTATTTCTCGATCAATGAAATTAAAAGCGCTCTGAAACACGTAAGATTGGCAGATTTGCAGAGCATTGATATCTCACTCTCACTTCTGTATCTTTCTCTCTCTGGGGAAAAGATAAAAAGGATGGGGTTAATAAGCGGCAGGTGGAGGTTGGGAACTTTTGGTTCCGTATTCATCATCGCACCATACGAGTCAACGGTCCCGGCTTTTGCTTTCATTTACTGCCACCGTATTTTTTTCTCCACACTTTTGACTAAAGATATGAATTCTTTGGGCTGTTTGGTACTCCGTGTGCGAAAATGATATAGCGTTAATTACACTCACCGGTATTTATCGAATTACTTTTTCGGGTCAATATAGATAAAAGCAATTATGTCGTTTTATTATGAGCTACAAAGGTAAATATATGTTGGTCTATGCCTTCCAAAATAACAGGAGATCTTTAAATTTTGTAGAATGTCGTGAATAAACACTCAATTTGTGTAAGTCGTTCAATTTGATGAAATTGATGAACAAGAATGGAGAAGGAATAATGAAAGCATATAGAATGAATGAATATTGGTTATATGAGTTATAAGCCTCCTATAAGGAGTATAGAAAAATTCGGGTTTGGGCCTCTAATACGGGCCTGACAGACCCGATTACATAAATGGACTGATAGTATAAAAAGCTAATCTAGAACATTTTAATAATAATAATGTACAATAATATGAATCCGTTATACGTGTGTGGGCCGCTGTCCAGGCCCAGTAGTCGGCAGACCGGGAGGTCGGAGTCCATATACTCCATCAGGAGTCCCCCACTCCCTGAGTCGAGAGTACTTGATAAGTCCGTATTTTGACACGCATTTGATGCATGTTGAGATCGGCTTTTGATTATTTTCCTAGCTTTAAGGTGTTACAAGTCTCAATTTTAGCTCAAGTTATGTTTACCGGGCGTTGGTTCGAGTTTTGTGTTGTTTGTAGTCAAAATCAGGGAATTTGAGCCCGGCACCGGCACTTGAGGAACAATCGGGATGATTTGAGAAGCATTTGAGATTGATTTGATAGCTTTGGAGGTCACTGGGAGGTTCACTATGAAGATTTGAAGGAAAAAGAGTTCTAGGATTGGCTACGGGGTCAAGAGAAGATGAATGAAGCATGAAAGCGACGATCAGGATGACCTTCTGTCAATCGTTCAAGCATATCTCTTTGTAGAAATTACCAATGGACACGATTCAAGTTCCATATGAAAGCTAACTTCAAGGGATACAAATCATATGAAGACACCTTTGCGAGAATATGAGAGGAAGAAGGTGAAAACAGATGATGACGTCAGATGATCTCTGTTGCAATTTCAGAAAGACACCTTCCACCGTTTTGATCATATCTCTTGATTGGATGATTCAAATCACATTCGGCAAATTGGGGTGGATAAATGACTTCATTATCTACAATTTTCATGAAGAAAACATTGCCAAATTCGGAAGGTAAGTAGGCACGATCGTGCCCTCAAAGTCAGGAACGATCATGTGTGAAGAGAATGCATCGCGGAGTTACTGCCAGCTAGGCACGATCGTGTCTGCCCAAAATGCGCGTTTTTGCTCCGGAGGCACGATCGAAGGCACGATCGTGCCTGCCTCTAGAAATCCCAATTCAGCTCAAATTTCACCCGATTTTTCTATTTAAACAGCCTTTAAACCCCTGTTTTGAAGGGGAGAGCTTAGAGAGAGTGCCTAGCACGCATTTTAGAGGGATTTTCAGCCTTGGTCATCAATCTTTTGGAATTATTTGTAAGTTCCACCTTTTTAATCTAATGACAATTAATTCTTTTTATTCCAATTCTATTGATTCTTCAATTATGAATTGTGAGTAGTTTTAATTAGAGATTTGGGATTGATGAAGGGGTTAATCATGATGTATGGCTAGATTCTTGATGGTTTAATTGCATGAATGCCGTTTAATTTGTGTTTGAAGAATTTAATTGATATATCTTGTAACCTAGACTGCAGCTAGAATTACAATTGCATGTAGAATAAATTAAGAGAGATCTAGTTTATTCTAGGACACATTCACACACACTTAATCGTTCGCTAAGAGATTAGTAGCGATTACGGGGTCGTAATCTTGCTCGTCTTGGCAATAATTTAGGATCCTGTTGCATGAGAGATCAGCCTGGTCCCCTAAATTATTGTACTCTACGCCGCGAGAGCGGTAAGAAATTAGTAATGATTAGCTAGGCTCAATTAAATTAATTTCATGTAATTAAGCCTCATCTGCCAGAAATCTGATTACCCCGGAATCAATCCATGTTCCCTTCGTCATTAATTAGAAAGAACCCCCTAGTTTAATCGTTTCATTCGCATTAGTTTAATTTTCATACCAATCATATCTCGCACGACACTTTTTATTTATTTATTTTTAATCGCTGAATTTAGTTAATTCTTAATTCCCTTTTGTCCGTCCCTGTGGAGACGATACTCGTACTTACACCACTATATTACGATCTATTTTAAGTGCGAGAAACTCACATTAGTACTCGAGGCGAAAGGGAGTAGTCCAAACTGTATTTGCAACGTTCTTCTGTCTTTGGTTTCTCCCTCTCCGGTCGGGAGACCACCACCCTTGTCCATGATGGGGAGGGTGCCTCGTTAAAAAACCTTTACTAGGAAAAAATCCAGTGGCGAAAAATCCTAATAAAGGGAAAAAGAGTACACCTAGCGCCCCCAACATGAAAAAAGGAAGGTAAGTCCCCTCCGGCATAATCAATCTAGCTCGACTCCTCTTCATCCGACTCAGCTTTCGTTTCTGCTCATGCGTGATATTTTCTGCTCATCTAGAAACTCTGAACCCTTAGTCCCCCAGTCCCCCATTCCTTGAGGCGAGTGGAGACGAGGTGAAAATGAGTAAAGTCATCTTCGTACCTACACATTTAACATACACATAAATTTTTTCTTGGGATTTATGTTTCCGATCGGGAGTTCGTCACTTGAAAGAAGTGGAGATGTGAATTGTTAATGTAATGATAAAATACTTAGTAGAATGGATGTGTGAGCCATTCGTAAGCAGCAGTCGCCACTCGAGGAATGACTAAGACCGGTCTTCGTGCCTGACTTGGTCGGGGCTTTATCTTCGTGCCCGACTTGATCGGGGCTTTGTGCCTGATCTTGGTCAGGGCTTTATGCCTGATCTTGGTCAGGGCTTTAAATCATTGTGATGGGTCTCAAATCACACTCTACTAGGCATTTGATCATAAGTGTGTGATAGTATGACATTCACCCGACAAAAAATACGGAGTATTGATTAAAATAAATATAAATAATATTAAAATTAAAGATACTTATCTTTTTGAAGTGGGCTGAAATATCGGCCCGTTGAAATGAATATAATGTGTTGATCCTTAGGCCCATTTTAAGTGGAAAAAGCCCGTTGACTATGAATATACTCTATATTCGACTATTTGCTCGGCCACCACAAGGATGAAGTGCACCCACATATGCATTTTTTGAAGACACATATCTCAAAAGGTGAACAGTCAACTGATTTGTACGTAGTCTGTCTCTTCGTCTGTCCAAGACGTTGATCCGCAGCTGAGTGGGCAGCTCGACAGGAAAAGGTTGGAATATGCTTCTTAAGAATTCAAAGCAACCATTAATGGAGAACCTCGAACCGTTAGATCCTCAGGAAATGTCAACGGCGAGGTGGGTTGCGAGCGGCGACGTGTGAGGTGAAGGACCGACCGGCGACCGGCTAGGTGGAGCTACATGCGGCGAGAATGATGGCGCCGGAGAAAGCGGCGTCCGACGATGGAGAACAGCAAAAACCTTCCAACCAGGGTTTTCCACTCTGAACCATGTTCCTATTTGAGATCGGAATCGCATCTCCTGGCCACCCTTCGAGCAGATTCAGCGGAGGGACGCACAGTGTGTTCGGGAGAAGTGACCTCACTTCTTGAGAATGGCGCAACGGACTCTAACTGGTGCAGCGAGCTTCAACAGATGGCGTACGACGACTGAAGCCGGTGATGGCGGCGGCTGAAGACGGTGACGGTGGCGGCTCATCCAGGAAAATCCGGATTTCCTTCTTTTTTTGTTTGGCCGACTGTTTTTTCTTGAGCTGCGATGGAGGCCGAAGCGGTGGCAGAGCTGCCGGGAGTTGGGCGTCTTCGCGAGCGAGACGGCGGAGACCGTACTTCGCCGGTGGTTCTCCGGGCCACAGATCAGCTGCGGAGCATGGCCCTGCTGTGGCGTCGCCGCTGGCAGTGGGCTGGGTTCCGGATTTCAGCTGCTTCCCCTTCTTGGCCGGTTCCGACGAGATTATTCCCTTTGACCGTGACGAATCCGGTTGACCGACGCTGCCGGGTTCAGATTCGAAGAGCAGTTCCAGATCTGCGAAATCCCAGTTTTTCTTTCTTTTTTAATTTTCCATAACAGTTTTTTGTGATTGGGAAGAATTTTTGGTTAATTGGGAGGTTTTCTCACTTGATTGTGTTCAACCTCTCAATTATCCTATGGATAATTGAACAAGAATGGAGAAGGAACAATGAAAGTGTATAGAATGAATGAATATTGGTTATATGAGTTACAAGCCTCCTATAAGGAGTATATATAGGGAAAATCCGGTTCTGGGCCTCTAATACGGGCCTGACAGACCCGGTTACATAAATGGACTGATAGTATAAAAAGCTAATCTAGAACATCTTAATAATAATGTACAATAATATGAATTCGCTAAACGTGTGTGGGCCGTTGTCCAGGCCCAGTAGTCGGCAGACCGGGGGGTCGGAGTCCATATACTCCATCAGGGGCCAATACCAACTCACATACTCCGTATTGGCCCCCCTAGTAGTGTAGAACATAATTTTGAGAGGGAGAGTCATCATCGTTGATTTCTCTTGTTATCAATTCTTATCTAGCCACAATCCAAATTAAGAGTCGGTTTGCATGACAAATGTTTTTCAAAACAAAGACATTTAATTCACATATCAACGAGATTGAACTCAGAAGCAATCTTGCACAACGTTATGTCTCCTGCATCAATAATGTTACTAATGAAGTGAAATTTAACATCGAAGTGCTTGGTCCTATCATGAAAAATTGATTTTTTTCACAAGTGGATAGCAAACTGGCTATCAGTGTACAATGTTACAAAACTGCTTAAAACCCAATTTTAGTTAAAATACATTTGAGCCAAATAGTCTCTTTTTGGGCTTCAGTGGCTGCAACATATTCTGAATCAGTAGTAGAAATTGCAACAATTGGTTACAGTTGGGATTTCCAACTTATGTAAGAACCACACAGATTTCATGTTGTCCCTATCCTTTACATAATTGGAATCAACAAAATCATCAAGCATAATTCCACGTGGAGTTTTAGAAAACACAAGACCATGAGAAATGGTACCCTTAAGGTACCTCAACAACCACTTCCGGGCATTCAAGTGTGACACCCAAGGATTATCCATGTATCTACTCAGGCAACTTACATCATAAGCTAAATCAAGTCTAGTGATTACCATGAGATACATGAGGTACTCTATTACACTAGAATAGAGGACATATTTCATCCTATCAATTTCAATAATCCTTGGGAACTGGTCCTTACTTAACACAAAGTGAGGTGCTAAAGGAACATTGACAATTAGGGCATATGTCATGTTAAACTTGTTCAAGACATTCTCAAGTTAAGAGATTTGATTTAAGGTGAGGGTACACCTACTTCTATCTAAAAAGATATTAACCTCTAGGATTCTTTTAACATCTCCAAGGTCTTTTAACATCTCCCTCAGACGCTTTTGCACACTTTTAATAGCATTCCAGGAAGGACTTATAAGCAATATATCATCCACATAAATCAACAAGAAAACGGGTACAAAATCATAATTCTTAAAATTCAAACAGTGATCAGATCCAGACCTTTTGAAATTCAAAGAAGTCATACATTGGTCAAATTTGATGTTTCACTGTCTGTGGACTTCTTCAGGCCATAGAAGGCTTTCCCAAATAAACAAACATGTCCACGATTCTTAGGATCCACAAATCTTTCAAGCTGGATCATAAATATTTGTTTATCAAGGTCACCATGCAAAAAGACAGTAGTGACATCCATTTGTTTCATCTCCCATCTATTGTGGGCAACAAGGGCAAGCATCATCCTAGTTATTGTAAATTTAACTACAAGGGCAAATATTTCAGCATATTCAACACCTTCTTTTTGTGTAAAACCTTTAAGAACTAACCTAGCCTAAAACCTAATGTCATTTGGTTCTTCTTTAACCTTAAAGAGGCATTTGCATTCAACTATTGAGTGATTAGGTGGTCTAGGAACTAAAATTCAAGTCTTATTCAGTTTAAGTGAATCTATTTCACTTTGCATAACACTAAACCATTTCCTAGATTCTCTAGATGTTAGGGCTTCCTGACTGGTTTTAAGTTCATTCAGATCAAGTGTTTCAAACATAGAGAAATCAAATAAGGCAATATCATACAAATGAAAAGCATAAATAGACATGCTATTAGATGTTTTCCTAATATTCCTTCTAGTTCTGTCTCTGGGTAACTGATAATCAGTTAGACCATCACTCAATAGGAATTTCCTGTAATTCCCTATTATCAGCAAAATCAGACTCAACAAACACATCATGCGGACCGTAATTATTATTACCATATTCAATGGACTGCTCCACCTCATTGGAGGTGGGGGGGGGGGGGGGTTAATTCTCAGCGTTAGTGGAATCATAAACATCAAAAGAGTCATTATCATCAAACAGAGGACTAGCAGCAATAGGAATGACCTCCACCTCACTGGGAGAGGCGGTGATAGGCTCTGGTTTAGAACTTGTAACAGGCTTGACTAAGTAAGGAAATTAAACACAACATTTCTACTAATAATGACTTAAACCCAATCTGCCTCCTATCCCAAACTCTATACCCCTTAACCCCTTCTAGGTAATCTTGGAAGATACACTTATTAGACCTATGATCAAGTTTATTAGTTGGTTGGTGTACATAGGCAGCACACCTAAAGACCTTTAGGTTTGACAGATCAAGAGATTTATTTGAAAACACAGAATCAAGGCACTTACCCGGTTTTCCCGGATTTCCTCCTAACCTAGGATCGGATTATACATCAAAAATGAAAAAAAGATTATAAAATAGCTAAAATTAGAATTACAATAACTTTAGTCAATTCAGAAAACTAAATTCAACTTTACTTATTTTTATTATCAAGCAATCCAATGTTGTAAATCAAAAGTTGCAAATTTGACAAAAGGTTTACTCATGAGAAATTAAATTGAAAATTAGGATTACCAAACGTGCGTATAATGTTATATAATTAAGAAATTTACCTAAATAGGATAACAACATTCGACAAAAAAAATTACAAATTTGGAATTTCAAATCATGTTTTGAAAAATAGGAATTACAATATTCTACAATAATTAGACCTATTTAGAGATTAAAAAAATAGTATCCATATTTTGGAATTTCAAATCATGTTTTCTCATATTTTAGAAACTTCTATATATAGTGTTACATATACATGTCCTTTTACCTTTTTAAAAGCTTATTACCATATCCATCATTTTGTTTCAATGTAATTTTCGTAAAATTAGTTTGTCATCTCGTAAAATTTGGACCATGATTTTGATTAAAAAATATTACGGAAGTTATAAATTTTATACTTTAATAAAAATACATTTCATGAGAAACATTTTCATATCATTTTTATTATATTATAACAATAAAATATGTATTTAGTCAAAGTTTTAAAAATGACAAAGTTCTTAGGCACAGATGTTGCATTATATGCGTCTTATCCTTTTCAATGAACAAAGAGTCATGTAATGTTGGCAAATAAGCAAAATTTGGAATTTATAGGAAATACCTTGAAAAGAAGGAAAGGATCGATTAACTACATCAATTTGTACGAGTTTGAGTAAAGAGTACATCATATTGCATTTGACATTCATAAATACACGAACTTGATTTTTTAGTGTTAATTGAGTGCACTTGTTACATTAGCATGTTAATATTGTTGAGTTGGCTAACATATATAATGTTGAGTAAGAAGGGGAAAGTCGACCAAGAGGAATTCTACTAAGGTTCTGCCTCGACTTTCAAACAATCGACCTAAAAAGGGAAGTTGATCAAGGTTTTGGTGTGGACTTCCAAAGGTCGACCTGCGGAAGCATTGAGTTGCTTGGGTGCATTGACCAAGGGGAAGTCGACTTGCAGGATTGGCGTCACCAAGGGGCTTAGGGTTGGCGTTGACCTTTAGGAAGACGACCTATTAGCATTTCATTAGCCAACTCAGTCATAATAACATGTTAACTTAATAGGTTTACTCAATTAACATCAAAAAACCGAGTTTGTGTACTTAGAAATATCAAATACAATATAGTGTACTCTTTACTCCACCTCATACCAAATGATGCACCCAGTTGACCTTTCCTACCTTGAAAATTCTAAAACATAATCATTTTGTAACCTTTTTTCTAAAATAATACTAATTCTGCTTCTGAATTAAGTTTCTAGTTTAATTTTACGATTTTTAAGAAAGGAAAATTTCAAGTGTTAAAACTTTCTTATTATATCCTTACATAAAAATATTAACCCCTATTAATGGAGTAAAACATGGGTGTAAGGGGTAAATGGAATGAGGATCGAATTGTCAATTCATAATTAAACATTGCCAGAAAAGGAAAATATGAACTTTAATGCGGGACTTCGGAAATAGGAAGGTGAGTACTTAGTTAGAAACAAGAGAGAAATGTGAGAATGGAATGATCACTTATTATTTGAAAACTAGTCATGCCAACTAAAGTTCTTACAACGTTTTTTTACTAGGTATATTTTTTATTCAAAATATATAGATAGTGTACCTTTTGGGTTAGTTTCTCTCTCACTAAAGTAGATTTGGTGGAATAGTCTACATTCATCCCCTTCAAAGTCAAAGTCAAGTGTTAGTAACCTTGCATTTGTAGATTGAGTTTGCCCATTTGATCCTTTAAGTATCCTTGGTCCCCACCTGTCCCCCGATGAAACTAACATGATGTCTCGTGTAATTACTTTGTCATTTGTGTGATCTATCTTCTTGCTCTACACAACCATAAAGTCCCTCATGTTGTATAGTTTGACCTATCTGGTTGATTGACCGACTTTGCTATCCATACGTATTCTTAGTAACGAATTATCAAGGATGAAAAAAATACATATAAAACGTAAAGAAAGAGACAAATTTAACATGATTCACAAATATTGTTTTGGTTACATCCACTAGCAGGAGAATAGATTCATTGAGGAGATCAAGTGTATATATAGTTTTAGAGAACACCACAATACTTGATACAAGGGGTATCAACACATCTCCATTCTTTCTTGAAACCTCCATACCGATGCATTATGACAATGACAGATGGAAATCCCCTTCATTTACCTTCATTTGCGCCCCATAGGTACTTAGGGTACTTAACAACTTGTGATATTTAGCAAGTTCAAACAATGTTGGAACTTGTTACGAGGAATTGGCTAGGTGAACATATAAGTGAGACCCCCGTAATTGGCTAGGTGAACATAATCATTTTGTAATTGGCTTCTCTTCCAATATATATGTAGGTTACC